TATTTAATTCCTGTATTTTTAAAAGGGGAAGGCGCCGAAGCTGCGCGCGGCGCTGGGTCCCCCCGCTCGGGCTCGGCGCTCGCCGTTCACGTAACCCTCTCCTCGCCCTTTTCTTGTCGCTTTTCTGTTTTTCTTCTTTCTTGCCACTTACCTGCCTGCCCCGCGCTCGCGCTCTGAAACCTCAGATGTGCCTGGCTTTGAAGTCTGGCGGAAAGAAACCGCGCAAAGGGCGAGAGGGAGCCCTCACAGACACACGCCGGGACTTCGAGGAAAACGCAAGAAAAAAAAAGCCAACACCACCAAAAGTGTGTCACGAGTAATTCATTTGTTTTAGACGATCCGGACCTGGAGGACGTTGACCCGGCGGTGCTGAAGCAGTGCCACGCGGCAGCCGCGACGTGTGTTCTGGAGGCAGCCAAGCACCACGCCGACAAAGCCGCTATAAGGTACCGGCGCTTTGAAGCTGCCCGCGCCCTCGAGTGCCTGCTACGTGCGGCGAGCTGGGCTGCTGGCTTCATGTTGACAAAAATACATAAAATCCTCTTGTCTCCAGCGCGTGTCTAGAAGACTGTAAATTGGACAGAGAAAGAATAGAAGAATTTTGCACCGAATATCAGGTTTTCAAGCCAGTTTTACCATGCTTTTCCCCTTTCTCCCCCCCCACCCCTCCCACCCCTTCCCTGTCTGGTAACAAATTATTTGAGTCTAGTAGGTTTTTTTTTTTTTCCCAGAAAAACAAGGATGCCTTGGAAATCCTATTGGGAAGGTAAGTCAGTCTGTCAGCAAAGGTATTTTTAGTTAGAACTACTTTAAAAGTGTCCTGTACAACATGCAGAGGTACTTTAAGTGTTGGAAGTAACAAATATTGCTCACAGTTTTTTTTTCTTTAAATTATTAGCAGACTTTATAAAACAACTGTTGGAACTTTCTTTTCTCCTTTCAGTAGTCTGCTCTTAAGTAACTTTTTGAACTTTTTATTGAGTTTTACAAATATCAGAAAAAAAAGTTTTTGACTTTATTGATGGGCAACTTTAGGAAATTGACTTTTAGTGTAGGTACATACAAGTATTGTGTTTTTCAGCATAGGCAGATCTCCTCTCCATATAACTGATGTGTCTTGGCGCTTGGAATATCAGATCAAGGTAATCTTAACACATTGTGTGTTTCTCTGGTCTATTTTGATCAAAAGCTGACTTTTTTTTTTAATTTAGACCAATCAACTTCATAAAACTTACCAACCGTCCTATTTGGTGTCCTTAAATGTGGAGGTACTGTCTACCCACCTTGCCCTGTACCCTTAAATGAAAAAAAATGCAGTATCTTGTCATTTTTTAATAAAACGGATTTTTTTTTCCTCCTCAGAACAGTGATTCAGAATCACACCCAGATGTTAGCTTTAGTTGCACGATGGAGCAGTTACAGGTACTTCTTTCCATCATCATTGTTTGTCAATCAAATTGAAAATTTATAAACTGTTATCAGAAAAATATCCAGAACTGGGAAGGTAGAAGAAAACCTTAGACAAAACATTGTCTGGATATGGTCATTTTGCCTTCTCAAATAAAGTTGTGTACAAACTGTTTTTAGTTACGGGGATATAGCTTTCTCTGCCTATATTAATATTTTATCTGTTTTCTGTTTTTTTTATCTGTATTTCTTTCATTTTTATGATACTCGCTTCCCGAGCCACTGAGAAATTATTAAGCAAAATTGCTCAATGAGTTAAATATATATGGTGATTAAAAATAGTGAATGAGCTGAAGGCTCTTCAATGGTGTTAATGTCATGAAAGAAATGTACTGAAACAAACGTTGATCTTCACTTAACGGTTTAAATGTGTAACTGAACAATAGAAGTATTGTAATGACTGAAAGTGGCGAAATTCTGGGGGAATGGTGGTAGAGACAAGGGGATAGGAACACTTCAGATTTATACTGAAGTAGACTACCAAAAAAACTACTTTTTGATGTGTTTCTCCAGATTTGTCTTTTACTTGCAAATAAATGTTTTGGTTTTCTCACTTAGTGGAATCTGGCATACTTTGACTGGACGATGGTCCTAGTATAAAATGGCACTCAAAACAATTTTAGTAATTTTAGAAATGTGTTTAAGATTTAAATGAGTTGACCAAATGTTGGCATGGACCATCATAATAGTGCCGATAAGTGTTTTTTACTTGAATACTTTATTTTTTCTAGTCAATTAGTATTAAATAGTGTTTTCCCTCAATCTCCCTCAACTTTTACTGTGTTCTTGTAAAATGTGCAGTTACTTGTCTTTCTAGCATTATACCAGTCAACATTTCCTTGTGATTTACTGTGCTATGCCTTGCCCTGATGCATAAAATAATATAATGTTCTACTATTAGCTGACCTCTTGCAGTGTATTTTGATAACAATATTTTTTTCTCTTAGGATTTAGTTGGAAAACTAAAAGATGCTGCAAAAACCCTCGAAAGAGCAACTCAGCTGTGATGGAAGGTGTCAGCCTGTGGCGTGGAGTACTCTGACTCCTAAGATGGGCTGCTAAATGACAAATGTCTTTCATCTCTATTTACATGTTGTGATGTGAAGCTTTTTTTTTTTAATGGAGGTGAATTAAGCAAAATCATTATTTTTGCGAAGATTTATGCCATTCTTTTTTCACGCCATTTTTTTCTGAAAATTAACCCGTGGTAGAAATTGTTAGCTCTAGTAAAGCATTCCTTCATTGTTTATTTTGTGTACTTAATGACAAATGTCTTTCATCTCTATTTACATGTTGTGATGTGAAGCTTTTTTTTTTTAATGGAGGTGAATTAAGCAAAATCATTATTTTTGCGAAGATTTATGCCATTCTTTTTTCACGCCATTTTTTTCTGAAAATTAACCCGTGGTAGAAATTGTTAGCTCTAGTAAAGCATTCCTTCATTGTTTATTTTGTGTACTTATTAATGAGTATTTGTCACAGGTTATTTTTTCTGGGGGGGGGGGCCTAATAAAGTTTTTTCCCTTTTGTTCTTTTTTTTTTTTTATTTTTTTTTTTTCCTTTGGTTTGGGTTG